GTGTGTGTGTGTGTGTGTGTGTGTGTGTGTGTGTGTGTGTGTGTGTGAGTGTGTGCGTGTGTGTGTATTTGCAATCCATCTTTTCATCCGTAATCGGGCTATGCTATTCATAGAAAACTTTTAAAGCCTCTATGTTTTCTGTCTTCGCCATTTAAACACGTTTTACTATTAAACTTTACCTTAAACTATAATTCTATAGATTTCAGAAAGTCCCTTGATATTATCCTAGCAATAGTTGAAAATTGTTGATGATAATAAAATTATTTATTGATTTAAAATTGCAATTAAATTCCGACAACTGAAAATTCTGGAAACGTAAAGATTCTTTTTGAGCACTACTAGATGGCAATCCATCGACACGTATTCATTTAAATGTGTATACGTTCATACAGAATCGGTGTGATAGACAAAGAGGTAGATACTGTTTTGTGAGAGAAACAACATTATATGTTCTGTTCAAACAGCAATCCAATATGGTGTCTACATCCGAGAAGTGGGTTTAAGGTGTCGTCGTCGTGTCGTTGTCGCGCGGCTAGAGTACAATAAATTGTTTACTTTTGTGTAATTTTTCCAATCATTTTGTGATCAAAACTACATGAAAAAACATAATTTCATACAAAGTAATTAACATAAATAATTAAATTACAAAATAAAGTAGTTAAATAAAGCTAGGACAAAGCAAAGTGCAAAGAAAAATAAATAGTAAAAGAAGTGGATTGGTAATACCTAACATTAGACTTTCGGGACGTTTTTGGGCATCTTGTCGAATTAATATCCAAACAAAAGTTCAAACAATTAACCAAAATCGTGCAATTTTATTTATAAAATATCCCCAATACGTTTTGAAATACGGGGACCTATAACAGAAAATTAATTATTATTATTGAAAGACAAAGCAAAAACAACAACAGCAGTAAAAACAACAACAACAAAAACAAATTTAATGGTCTTCTTTAAAAACGTAATTCTAAAAAATATATACTATTCAAAAAATTCGTATTTTAATTTCAACTAAATGGAAACAGTTTAGTGTTCTAGTAATTTACATTTGAATTTCATTTCGATCATTTAAATAAATGATGTTGTTCAATGATGAAACAATTCTGTCCATCAAATGAATGAAATATCCACAAACACCGAATAACATTCATCGGATGTAAGTTTAGATAAATTATAAAAGAGTGGAAAAGAAATGTAAGAATAAAAAATGTGAAAAACTTCATAAAAACAATTCTTGTGTACAAAAAATATAATTGTGAACGTGTTTCGATTTGTGTTCAAATAGAGAATTTAGCTGAAAATAAAATTGATAATTTTAGGTAATTTAATACATGTGCTTCATTGGTTCATTGGAACATTGCAAATTTTATATCTATTGATTATGGGTGAAACGAAATTTGAGACATTTTTTATTAAAATAAAAATAATTAAAATATTTTCGCCATAGAATATGTGTTAATTGTTATAATTTTATTCAACTATCTCGTAATTAAGCAAAAAATAATAGTAACTGTATCAGATCGTGAATCAGAATAGAAAACATTGATTCTATAATCCTAATGATGGTTATAGCCCACTTTGCAAGTCAACTACACTTGGCGAAACATCAATGCTGTTATATGACCGAATCATAAGCTTCTTTCGAAATTTATTTATTGAAATGAGTTGGAATGAGTGGGTATTCGAATTGTGAGCGAATTTCTAATTTGATTTTTGTTCAGTAATTTTACTTAATACTTGAAATCGCATGAAAAAGTAATTGGCAAAGATTTTGTGGGTTTTTATATGTTAAAACTTTTTTCTGTACGTGTGTTTTTTTTCTGCAGCCGTTTACTGATCTTTATTGTATTATTCGCATTTTTTGGTGTGAGTGTAAGACTTTAATGTGTATATATGTGTTCGAGGTTCCACAAATATTATAATTCAATTGATAAAAATTCTTGACACCCTGGCTGTTTTCATCCAAAACTACTCTGGAATAATAAACAAATATTTTCGATTTTCCGTTATTTCGTTGTCTACATTGCATTTAGATTCATTTTATTTATGAAAATTATGTTTAAGTAATGAGTTCTCCGCTTTCTACGTGTATGTGTCAAAGCGATTGTAGCGCACCCATGCGTACAAATGTTTGCCGTCATACTGTGTATGTATATATTATATTTGTGTGTGTACAAATGAAAAAGGCAGAGCAGAACATACTAAAGCACACAACACATCCATAAAAAAAGAAAAAGCGGAATAAACATGGTTGCCGAAAAGAATCTCCCTCGTCATTTTACAACGTACACATTGTACAGAATGCATAAAGTGTACATCTTTAGTTTTTTCTATATACACTCATCAAACTCACTGAATATGAACAAATAAGTTTAAAAATATCAAACATACACATGTACATATACCACGACCATATTTACATCGTATATATTCTTCTGAGCAAATATACAGCAATCAAATTCTACAATACATGTTCAAAAATTCGACTCGGCTACTCTTTCAATTTACTTTTTCTTCTCTTTTTTTTTTTTCATTTAGCACTCATTCGATTTCTGTTTCTTTATGCATGGTTTTGTGGCGTTAAATCAATTTTGGGAGACACTCAGAAACTCTTTCTATACTAGAAATGATTGTGAGATTTTCAATACCGTGTTAAGATATACTTACTAGAAAAAGTAATAAATTTAAATTGTCACTCTGATTTATGCCAATAAAACCACATGACTTATAGTTATCTATTTTTATCGAATGTTAATATACATTTTCTCTTAATTGCTTTCGATCAACCATGTCATGAGAAATTGGAGGTCAAATTGAATTATTAAATTTTAAAAGGATATACAGATTTTTAAATCTTCGAAAAAAACTATTTTGCACCATATCATAATTCTATCAAAAAATATCATACTGTAAAAGAATTGATATATATATATAGAAACTCGGAACGAATGTTTGATGTGATCTCTATCTTGTATACAAATTTGTGATGAAAATTATCAATGGATTTCAATTACTGAGTTTAAAATAGGGAGATTCAAATAAGCGTTCACTTGGAAATAGAAAACACGACAAATATTCACAAATATACGAAAACAAACACGTATGTATTTGTCGATACATATAAATACTGTCTGTTGTCTACTGCAATATTGTATTGGATGTTGAATTGACTGTAAGAAATAAGTACAAATTTAATCGATGAGACAAAATAACAGAACGCTGTTGCATTGAATTCACCACTTTTTTATAATAGGACGATTAAATGACTATATTTCCATCGTCGATTTTCTCTTTTTTTATCGATGGCATTCATATACCAACAATCTTCTGGAAGAGATTCAGTGGAAAAAAATTGATACGGTAATGACGAATAACTGTTTTCAATTTTAAGTGAGTGAGAAAGAACGATATAGAAATTGACGATGTCACCTACAATGGTGAAGACAACATCGAAGGGAATCAAATCGTACATATACTTGACGAACAAAGTAGAAAATCATTTAACAACGTTTGGTAGTAAATACCGAATTGTGTTGCTAAAATTTCGCTTTGCAAAGATTTTTGATGTCTACGTATGCATTTGGCGCAGTAGAAAAATTAGTTGCTTCTGCATGCGTACGCAATTCATGTCTAGTATTTGTAGATATTGTTCATACAATACAACTTTTGAAAAATACGCTTTCCATTTACCGTCAGCCGTCAGGTCGTCGGCTTCTAAATTACCTATATGGGTACGTGTTACACTGTGACATACAATTGTATAGCCTGTATTATGTACTCTACATACTTACAATTAAAATTAAATGTAAAGAGAACAAAATGATAGAAAACTGGCTTTATTGCCAAATATTCTCTCCTTTTTTTCCTCAATGTTACAAAAATGCACTACTGTTGCAATTATCATATCAACCACAAAAACTATGTTCCGAATAATCAAAACTATTCACTCCAGTTTCAACGTTATTTAATATCGATTAAAAATATACGTAAGGTATGAAGCGATGAGATTTTGGAACTACTGTCATATTGACTCATTCATACTTGAGAAGTTATGTAAGACATGGTAAAGTTCGTGTTTTCAGTTGTGACTGTTATATTAAAGTCTTGTTGCTAATTTAGGTATGATCATAAACCAGGAGTCCAGAAAAGTATGTTAGCAATTTCTGATATTTTTTGATGATATGTTTCCTTTTTTTTTGAAAAAAAAAAAAAAAAAAACTGAGTATATAAAATTCCGTCGATGAAGAAAAAAATTGGACAAATTTTATCTCCCCAATTATTTCTCATATTTCAACATTCAACGTTTTGTCATATATTTTTTAAAATTCAATTGTTCAATCCATTTGAAATTTAATTTCATTTCAACAGAGACTGTTTCGCAGAGTAATATATGTAAGGAGAAGAGCTTAGAGAAGCTGGAGATACCTCATTCAACTCATTAGAGTGCTCTTCCTCACATATATTGCTCTGAGAAACCATCATACACATGCTATCTCATACATTGGAGTAATAATTATGTAAATAATTGGAGATATCATTCAATTTCCGCCAATATTTCTTCTTCAGTTCATATATTGTTTTTAAATGATAAATTTATTTTGGAAAACTGAGTTTAAAAGGTTATTATGTGATATTTAAAACACTTCTCTTTAAGAATGAAATATTCTGACAATTTCTGTTAATTTTCATTTTAAACTGATGAGCAAAGAAAAAATGGATTATATAGAATGGATATTTCACACTTAAGGTGTGAATACATGGAAAAGAAGGACGATAATCATTAGTATCAATTGAATTGTATATGAAATATATTTTTTTAATTAAAAACTTTACTCACCTACCCTCCTTCTCCAACCTAGCTAAGCTAACGAATCGTTATAATATTGGTTTTATATAACTTTTGGATTCAATGCTGCTGTTTGTCAGTTGCCGTTATTTGCATCAATTACTGTACAACTGTCTGTGAAGCAGCATAATCATCATCCTGAGTATTTAATGGCCATTTTTTCTAGATAACTTTAATCTTTGACACTAAATGACCATTCTGAAGTAGCACACTTTAAATCGATGCGTTCTTATGTTCCTTGGAAATAGCTCTTGGCCATTCGCAATCAAATAAAAACACAGAAAGAAAATATCAGCCGACGCTATACGCAAAACCGACTGGTACGTGCGCTCATACGTTTTTACATCTTTTACATCTATTTCCATATGATTTTTCGACTGTGCGAAGATACGCACAAAGAGAAACGAATCAGTCGAAAAATCGTATGGTAACTAGATGTAAAAGATGTAAAAACGTATGAGAGCACGTACCAGTCGGTTTTGCGTATAGCGTCGGCTGATATTTTCTTACTGTGAAAAGAAACCAAATATCGATTGATTTATTAATTTCAAATAAGAGAAGAACAAATAATATTTGTTAAACAAAAAATAGTTTGCTGTTTTGACGTAAATGTTTTATAATAATGTAACGCGTGCATGGTGAATTGAATGTTTGATTTTAGCGCTCATGCGTGTGCGGTAAATTGCGGTTAATTCTAGAACACAACATTATAAAAATGTCGAAATTGTGACCGCATTGAGTTTTAATAATAGCCGCACAGTACTTAATAATAACCGCACCTTCAATTTGATTTGGCCGCACATTTTTTGTGTGTTATTGTTGGTAACTTTCACGGCGATTTCGTCATTTACTTTGGTGAATACTGAATGTGATGATCCTCTTCTTTGCTACCGAGTTTTCCAATGGTTTATTTTGATATTTTCCTTCTAAATTCAAAAAAGTCAAAAGTACTTGGAAGTAATGCTTGATATATCGATTTATAGACAAGTGAAATTAAAAAAATATATTTGTGTCACAACTGGTACATACTAAGGTGCAGCCCACATTTTATTGCAACAAAATTATCTTCTTTATTTTCATCATCGGCCATCGTTGTTCACAATGGATCGTTGTTTTTTTTTTTTTTGATTCTTGAAGGATTGATACAAATAAATGAAAATAAAAAATAGACACAAATTTAAGAAAAAATGCACCAGAAACATAGTCAGATTTTATTAACGCTCTGTTATTTCGCAATCAAAACGAAGGCACTCACAAAACCAACTGTGAATATGTCCAACAGTGTTCTTAACATATAAATTCGTTGTTAAAATGACAATAAACAAATTGATTGTCCAAGCCATGCTACAAAACAACTCACATATATTTTTTGAGCGTTACTGAACCAGTGATGGGCAAAGATACTTTATCTGAGGTTTTTAAGATACTGATACTGAGTTACGCACTCTATTTAACTCTATTTTTGGTGTTAGTTTCATCGAAGTAAACGCATCACAGTGAAAAAGAGATACATGTGTAGTACATATCTATTAAATATATCGAGAAGAGAGTATGTTATTCAGCGCTTATGGCTGAGTAATGTCTGAATAAAAACATACTCTCCTCTCGATATTTTCAATAGATATGTACGTTGCCGCATGCGTTCAACGAGTTATGTTTCGTTGCGTGCATATGAGTCTGTGTATACGCTATCGAATATGATTGCTAAGTGTATCGTCACATACGTTCGATGAAACTAACACCAAAAATAGAGTAAAATAGAGTGCGTAACTCATTTTGAGGGGTAAAGTCTCTACTAACACCACAAGTGCGAGTAAGCCTACTCTAATACTTGTTTCTGTGTGCAAGATAAGATAAAGATAACGAGATCTTTTATCTTATCTAGATAGAATTTAAAAACTTTTAAAATATCTTATCTGTTATCTAAACTTTAGATAGTATCTGTACACATCACTGGACTGAGCTCTAATAATAATATCTAATAATCATTTGAGCGCATTTTTCATATTATGCCGACATATTCAGTCCTTCAAAATAGAATCCAATTATATATGGTACAGTTATAATCGTTTGTTAGTTTAATTTGGATAAAAAAATGTGAGCATTTTTTCATAAACTAAATATGTCGCGTACAGTACATATATGCATGCTAAAGTATATATGTATATAACCTATATAATATAGGTCTTATTCTCTTTGAATATTATATTTGAAGCAATAGATTTCTTGTTGTGCAAAAAACCTTCAAGTTTAACTATTTTTTGGAACAAAACAGAGCCATTTCTTCAGCAGCGATTCATATATGGTTATTATGCATTTTCACATTCATCATGATTGGTTCATGTAATACAAATATTCATGATAGAATCTTCTTCTTCATACACTCAAAGGAATATAATTTCACTCAAAATATTACGAGACCTCTATTATATAATTTTCTTGAATTAAAAATAGGTTTTGGGTCGTGTTTGTATTAGAGTACCACAAAAGCATTTTTATCAGTCTATATATTGTGGATGATATTCCAGAATATCTGGATATTTAAGGCGAAAACAATAGAACTGCTCATTAGTGATTGTGTTTTTATGACCAATTTTCACGAAAAACATAATATACTACAACATCAAGATGTAGTTTTGGTTTAACCCGGTAAAAATGATATCTCCAATGAATAATAAAAATGAATTTAGAATGGCATATATGCGAATTTCTTTTACCTATGTATAAATTGATTTTCATTGTACACATTGTAGAGTTAAAAGCTTCAAAATAGCATAAATTGATTTTTTTTTATTTAATTAAAACTGTCATATTGTAAAATAAATACATATAAAAAAAATAATTGATTTATTCCAGTATAAAGTTCTATATTGTGTCATAGAAATCGCAGACACAAAGAATATTACTTGATATGATGATCCAATCCAGATATGATGACTTTAATATGATAATATGATGCATTTTCAGATCTATTTTCCTGATTACTTTCAGTTTTATCATTTGTATTTTCTCAGAGTTATCATAGGGTATATATTTCTTAACATTTCATTATTTTCGTTTAAAATTGTTGTAATTAATTTTTTGGAAAAAATATGACTAGTAAATTTAATAAAAGTATACAAATTATTTTTTCCAAGTCAAGAAATTTAAAAAGCTCTCTTTCTTTTTTCGGTTTACAGAGAAAGTGCGGGATACAAACATACTAGAGGCTGTTTACCACGCATCCGTTGTGAATTTGTGTGACAGTGTCGATATTGAGAACTATATAAATAACAAAACAAAAAGGAAAACTTTAAACTAATTAAAATCAAACAAAAAAAAAAAAAAAAAACAAACGAACTCAGTTTTAAACATCCTAAATGTGTGAAAATCGTATTGACAATTTATCACATTGAAACCGCATACATATTAATCACATTGATATTATATCAGTTTAGTGTTTAGAACAAGACCAAAATACCAACAATAGAAATAATAATTTCATAGTATTAAAAGCCAAAAATCAATCAGCCAGAACAGTTTGGTTCAACTATAAAGAATTTATAAAAAGTACATAAAAACTAAATACAAATCCAAAAAAAAAAATTTAACAAAAAAACGAGAATCCACTGCAAAAAGCATTGCTAATAAAATCGGTACATCAACATAGCAAGAGCAATAATTTTATCTGTGATAACAACTGAAACTAAACTATAAACATTTAAGAAGATCAAAAACTAACGAACATTTCTACAAAGTTATTCCAACTAAATCAATCCAAGGCATAAAAGTAATAAACAAATAAATTGAAGAAAAAAATATCACATATATAACGTAGTTATTAAGCAAAGGAATGAAAGTGATTCTATTAAGACATTTATACGAAATAATAGCTCAAATAAGGATTTCTTATGTGTACTGTGCTTCATAACTAAGTAAAAACAAGCTTTTACGAATAGCGAAGACCGAAGAAAAAAAAACAAACAACAAAAGGTACACTCACTCGTTGCCTATTGATTTAATTTGATGGTTTTAATGCTACCAAAATATAATAAATAATAATAATATACAGTTATTATAGCTATATAAAAAACCTCATTCTATTTATAATTTTCTTATTATTTATTTCTTTTTTTAATGCTGCTACTCTGCTTTATTTTCAGTTCAGCTTATTATCGGACGGTTTGGGACTGGAAAACCAACAGAAAAACAAATCAAACACCACTGAACAACCCAATTTTTAGTTCTTCAAATTGATTCTCTATTCATGTTGTGATTTCCCAAATTTTCAATTCTACATATGCTTGTGCCCATTTTTTTTGTCCGGTCTATTAATTATAACATTGCAGTTGGTATTGTTACTAAAAAAACATACCACGTAAAAGACATACCAGCAAAGTGGCCAATCCAGTGAGAAAAGTGAAAACAGAGACCGAGATAGCGCAAAAATGTAAACTTCGATTTTCTAAAAGTAGTAAACTAATCTTTTACAATGCACTTTTTGTATGGATGTGATATAGCACTAAATTGTAAGAATTTATCTGCAACTATTATCGGAATACACAAATAAACATTAACAAAAAATAAGTAAAGTAGCATTTATTTAATATCGTAGTTACATAAACTGCGTATAATTTGAATGTAATTTTAATGTTTATTTGCTGATACTATTATTAAAAAGTCTTCAAAAAGAACTTTGAAAACTAAATAAAAAATGTGTGCACTCTTTAGTCATATTGTATTTCGATAATGGTGACAAAATGAATGACAATATTTGAATTGAATGATTATTTTTTGAATAAAGTATTAGATCAAACCAACCAAAGTTGCAACCTAGAAATCGAGATGTCAGCATCGATTATGAAACAACCAGAGAATCCCAAAAAGTGTAATTTTGTGGTTTATTTATCAGATGCGAATTAATGCAATCTAGCCAACGATCTGAATGGAATTGTGAATATTTAGAAACAAATTAAAGTCAATCGAGGTTTTTCAACATCGATTTACCCAGAATTTATGAACAAAAAGTAGCACAAAACAAAAATAAGAAAAATAACAACAAACCAAACGAACCAAGTGGAAATTATTCCAGTTCAATCGAACCCCAAACGAAAGTTGTAAAAAGACAAAGGAAACGAAAAACTGTTCTAAAACTATTAGTTTTGGTCAACTTAAAATGTCAATCAGTTGATTTTATCGAAAGACTAAAACAGTGACAACACATTCAATTAGAAAATCCAATAAAGACCACATTGATGGCTGTTAACCGAACCAGAATGAATCGATGAACGGTGATCAATGAGATACAATAACAGCTTTACGAATAACGTATTACTACATATGTCCGAGAGCAAGGATAATAAGAAAACTAATAGCAAACATAGGTTGATATCAACTACTTCGGATACAATAATTACGGCAAATAAAAACACTCAAACCGACATGAAGTCTGAATACGCTTTTAAGGAAAAACTTAAAAAATTTAAGGCTAGTTTTAATCGAGACACTGTGAATGATACTGATGATGATGTCGATAACGACCATTTAACTACGATTAAGAGAAACCAAGTCACCGGCGTCGATGCAGATGTTGACAGCGCTGCCATTGATAAATTTGATATTGACGACGAACCATTCACAACTCAATTGCAGACGCCAGAAACCATCGAAAAGAAGCCAATCGATGGTAGTGAGCAAATCAAGATGATGCAACAAATCAATGACGACAACAATGATTCTATTACTTTAAAGTTACTCTGGCCACCAAAACAATTGCAATTCAATCAGTCTGATGTCTTGCCTGATAACAAAAAACTATCAAAGATGGTTCATAACAATAAAATGTACCAAATAATTCGCGATAATAATAGTATTAAGAGTAAACATATTTTGAACGCTACTGATACCTTTTGTGATAACTACAAGAATGAACTAAATGTTGCTAAGTCTGATAATATGGCGGCTCAAAGTGTTGCTGATACACGTAAGTAGTCTTTTCTAGTCTGTATGAAAAGTACTTTACATATATATATTGTGTTATTTGATTAGGAACCGCTGTAACTACTTCAATGGCAAATGATACTACTGCAAAGACTACGAATTCTACTACGTACAATAATTGTAATCGATATGAGCATGAGGTACAAGAACAATCAATTGGTGATAAGCCAACTGTGAATGCAAACAATAAGCTGCCATCGTCATCAACGTCCAACGTTAATACAAGTGTATTGCATATTTCATTTGAAAATCTTATCAAATTAATTGATTCCGAACCCAGGCGCATTCGTGAATGGAATGCGAAATCGTCGATTGACGCAACACGCTTTCTGCGTCTCTGCGGAGGTGGTGAGCAAGGTATTAATAATGGTACCACTGGTTGGGGATCACCTCCATCTGCACCAAGCGCAGCGCCTGGTAAGTTTCCATACATGTTGACTTCATTTTCTTGATTGGCAACTCCAGTTACTAACTGGTTTAATTTGATACTTAAAGGTGGAAACAACGCAAATACAAGTTCTTGGGGTTCTAATCAACCACAACAACAATGGGATCAACCTAGTGGCTCAAATGCAGCTGTTAATGTAAATGCAGCTAATGCTAATGTTGGACAAAATACAACTATGTGGCCACCAACAACTGGCGCTAATTCAGGTAAAATGACATCCTAGAAATAAAAAAACAGTGTTTCCTTTATTTATTGTATCTATAATTTGTAGGTTCACAGCAATCTCACGAACAAATTCAAAATGCCAGCAAAGCTCAAGGTCAACCTCAGCAAGCTCCTGCCCAACAATCACAATCTCAGCAAGCTGCTGGCAGGTAAATTAAATGATAAAGTTGCGATCTTTTTGCTGCCGTAATATTGATTTTAATAATATTTATACAGCAATAATAACAATAACGTCATTAGTGCAAGCGGAAGCAATAATCCTGGAAACAATAATAGTGCTTCTGGTCTAATCGGAGGTGGAACCTCGACAGCAGCTGCGAAAAATCAACTTGAACAATTGACAACAATGAGAGATGCTTTATTTAGTCAAGGTAATTTGTTCACGATTTTAAATGAATATTTAAAAATATACAAAAAAACATTAAATTAAAGAATAAATCTTGGTACGTGGCATTCACATATAACGAAATAATTTAACATAATAAATATTACTTTGAACAGATGGTTGGGGCTGTCAACATGTGAATCAAGATACAAATTGGGACGTTCCAGGATCTCCCGAGCCAATGACTGGTGGAAACATCGTAAAAGCCGATCCAACTCAATCTGTAGCTCAAGCTAGTGCTACAGCAGCAACTCCGTGGAAGCCAAACATTAATAATGGTACTGAATTATGGGAAGCGAATCTCCGTAATGGTGGACAACCACCTGCTCCAGCTGTTCAAAAGCCTTGGGGTCATACTCCATCCACAAATCTTGGTGGTACTTGGGGAGAGGACGATGAAGGTGCCGATTCAGGGTATGTATCATTTTATATGAATTTGGTTTAGTGTGAACGTCAATTCAACCAATGAAAACTAATAATCTCAGTGCATCCTCAAGTGTTTGGGCAACACAATCCAATGCACCAGCTCAACAGTGGAATCAACCAAGTGTTTCGAATGCAGGTGTAAATGTAAATGCATCTAATGCAAACGTTGGCCAAACCTCAGCAATGTGGCCTCCTGCAGCTGGGGCGAATCCAGGTATGTATAAAATAATATAAAAGTGTTTCAATAAGAATATCCGAACTTTGAATTGAAATAAAACGAACGACGATTCGAATTTATCGCAAATAGTAGCTCATTATCAGAGCTGGGCACGAACCGTCGGTCGTTCGTTCGTACATTGAAAAAATATGTTTTTGAGGTCGGTCGTTCGTTCGTTGAAATCATTAATGATCAGTCGGTCGTTCGTAAAAATTGAAATGTTCGTTGTGTTCGTTCGTATGTGCGATCGAACACCGAACACGCCCGGACGTCCGGATGTTCGGCGCAAAAATTTTCTGGTCGAGTTTGCAATTCTCTGAAATTACAATTTTGAAATTGTACAAATAATAATAATAATTAAATAAATGTCAAATATTTTCTAATTCATATTCATTTATGTTCTTAATTTGAACACTAACAAAATATTAAATTTTATTATTACGAATTTTAGGAAATTCCGTATATTTGGTATAGTCTATACCTGAAATAACCTAATATTTTCAATGATGAAATAATAGATGAATTTCATAAAATTTCGTAATAAAAAAAATTAATATTTTGAACACGTGAGAAAGAAAATTTATATGAATTAGAAAATATTTAAAAATTTATTTATTTAAATATTTTTTTCTTTAAATTTGTCCAATTATAAATTATTTAACAAACCTGATTTTACAATTTTGCTTCGAACATCCGGACGTCCGCACATACGAACGAACACAACGAACATTTCAATTTTTACGAACGACCGACCGACCATTTATAACTTCAACGAACGAACGACCGATCACAAAAAAGGAAAAAAACGCACACGAACGACCGATCACAGTCGGACATTGATGTTCATGCCCAGCTCTGCTCATTATTGACATTTATAATGAAAAATAATCCGACCTAGTTGGGTGTGGGGCGTGTCATCATCACTTTTGATAATATTTTGAGATTTTCGATCCATACAGGGTGTCTCAAATAAGTGGCTCACTACTGAGGGTATAAATTTCGATCTTTTTTTCTGTTGGTATAATTTTTAAAAATCTGCTCCGATAGAAATTTTGGAAATAAATTTCTAGGAATTTCTATCGGATTAGATTTTTGAAAACAATACCAACAAAAGAGAAAAATGAAATTTATACACTCAGTAGCTACCATCACTTACAATGGCAAATAATGTCAAAAACTGCATGACGGCGCCATCTCTATGTGCTCATGAAAATTAGAACAAAAAGTTTGTGTAGAATGTTAATTGTTTGAAGTTTGAATACGGAATCATTTGTTGTGACGACTGTCATTTTACGCTCGATAAAGATATACCGTGTAAATTGAACAAAAACCGATTTATTATTTGTATTTAGTGAATTTGTGATGGAAAATAAATTGAAATTACTTTGCACAGTTTGTGTCATCGAAATTAACTGCGAGGACGTTGCATATCACATGGTTTTTCTTCACACAAAATCAGTTGACATTTTTGACTTTTTCGCACCAAAAAAAAAAATGTTTTAATTGCCTTTGGTGCTCGTTTGGATCGCGAGTTCAATGCCAAGCACATAGAGATGTCGCTCGGAACGTGAAGCTCAAAAAAAATATACAGGTGATATAGAAAGCAAGTGAGGGTAGCTCAGTAGTGAGTCACTTATTTGAGACACCCTGTATGGATCGAAAATCTCAAAATATTATCAAAAGTGATGATGACACGCCCCACACCCAACTAGGTCGGATTATTTTTTAAACTCAGCCATAGACTAGTGGTTAGCGTGCCAGGTTTGTGAGCGTGAGGACACGAGTTCGATTCTCGGTCAAATTTGGTCCGGTATTTTTCCACCGTGATTCGCTCAGGAATCGTCAGTGGTTTAATGCGGAATAGATTTGGCCGGGGTTCGGGCTAGTGGAGTGCTTCGGAAGGGCACTTAAAGCCGTCGGTCCCGTGTGTGTGCATAACGAAGAATGGACTCAGCATAGACACACGTAAAATGGAGTGCCTTCACGTCAGGTTGTTGTATTGAATATGTGAGAGATTGCGAATACAACAACCGTAAAAAGGTAGTGCGCCATCTCTGGTGAATATACCGGTAAACCAGCGATGTGTGCATTCCTCCATTGAAATAAGAAGAGCCCAATGCCATCTAGGAATGAATGGAATTCTTGTGACTGTCATGACAATTGACTTGAGAAGAAAGCCCTGGTCACTGGCCCTGTACGGAGGCTAGTTACATGGCTGATATAAAGTGGGCCATACCGTGGGAAGCATTCTCCAAGCAATCGAGTGACAGCACAAGACGGGTCGTCATGCAATAAGTTACAAAACTTGAGCATCGAGTGAATAACTCCCCGTTTAATCCAATAATCCAATAATCCAAAAGTGAGCCACTTATATGAGACACCCTGCATATTGGCCATATTGACCACGAACTACTCTAAATATAAAAATGTAAAGGCATTAGTCGAACCATACTTTCCTCTTAGCCTTCGCGTGGGAGGTCATAAATGATGCCAATCGAAAAAACTTCTCAAAAGAGAAAGTGGTCTGTCAGGATCCTGACAATACAATTTAGCCGAAAGAAACTCCAAGTACTCGAAATTGGCCTTTTAAAAAATTAGAGTTATCGGATGATACTCCAACTGGTTTTATATTTTTCTTTTTTTATTATAATGACATTTAAATAAAAAAAAACATGCATTTTTCAACATTTCAGCAACTACTACTACAACGCCACTACAGCCTCCACAAATTGTGAATCCGGTTTTAGGTGGACAAGATGTACGCAATGTGGGTGCCAATCAGATGGATATAAGAAATGCAGATCCACGTGATATTCGTTTATCTAATGGGTATGCAATGATTATAAACTTAAAATATTTGTTTCTCAAATTGAATTAATAAGCGAACTAATATTAAAATGGCAATTGTAGTCCGCACTTTAACATTCCAATGGCACATCCACGTGACCCAACAAGAGATTTACTGAGAGAGATTTCTAGAGATGTTCGTGGAGATCTACGTGGGATCTCAGGTGAATATCAATACCATTCTTACTTTGTGATGCTATTCATCACGTTATTAAATTTAAATTAACTCTTTGTCTTGCAGGTCGTTTGAATGGAACGTCTGAAATGTGGGGACAACATCACAATTTGACTCAAGGTATTAATAGAGAAAAAAAATGTATAATTTTAATATTAACAATTATTCCAATGCATTCAATGTCAGGTGTCAATCAACAAACCGCACAGCAACCTCAGGCACAACAATCACAACAGCCACAATCACAGCATGGTCAAATGCCGATGAAGACAGGTGTGTATTATGACACGTATTCGTTAAATAATAAATAAATAGAATTCTTTCTAAGTTTATGTCATGCATTTGACATTTGGTAAGCGGTTGCTATATATAAAAAAATCACAGAATATAAACCCTTTAAAATATGCTGGTTTAGTAAGTGTCAATTGTTTTCATCTGAATTTTTTTCTATTAATGGCATCGCTTACAAAATGTGGCACATGTCATGTGCTACATTTGCATTTTAAATGAATTTAATAATTTTGATACAATCCATTTTCAGATAAACCACCGACCGGGTGGGAAGAACCGTCTCCGCCTACACAACGACGTAATATTCCAAATTACGATGATGGAACATCGTTGTGGGCACCATCAGTATGTGTTTATTTTTTTATATTTCAGTTTTTTTAGCACAAAATAAAAATATGAAAACAACAAAATCTTGAAAATGTATTTTCGTGGTAAAATGTTTTTAACAGCAACAAGCTCCACAGCAAACAAATCAACAGCAAAATGCTCAACAGCAACCTGTGCCATTACCACAAAATCGAGGTTGGCCAAAAGGTGGCAGAAGCTCATGGGATGAGCCTGTTACCGGTAAGGTTTTCTTTTTAATTCAATCACATTTCCTCTCATTTGAGGAATTATAAATTTTTCGAATCAAAACAAATTTGATGTGACTTCATTGACAAAAACTCAGGATCAGGATCAACTACTCCCCAACTTCCACAAAGTCGTATCATTCCGAGTGGACTACCAAGTGGACTTCCAAGCGGACTTAAGCAAGATGGTTCCATGTGGAATCAAGCACCAAATAATGCAGGACGCACAACTTCATGGGACGAACACTCCGTCGTTTCTGGTGTTAACGACAAAAATGCCGCAATTAATGGTGAGAATTATAGCTAAGGACTTTTGCTAAGTGTGTAACTTGTTTTATTCGAAAAATTAGCGAATACTGGTGGTGGTTGGGACAATCAAACACCAAACGTTTGGCAACAGCAGCAGCAGCAGCAGCAGCAGCAGCAGCAACAACAACAACAACAACAAGCTCAGCAACAACAACAGCAGAAGAACAAACTCATGGGACTTGGTAAGTTAAAAAAATCCAAATAAACACCAATTTTTCTATAATGTTTTGTTTTATTTCTACCTAAAGAAATAAAAAATAAAAATTCTTACATCCGTACATTACGCACTGTGATCCACAACATGCATTTATTATATGCATATTTATTTGATGTAAAATTTATTCACGAGAAAATTGAATTTGACGTAAGTTTTGCGAAACAAATAATTTTCGACACCCCAAAATTTGATAGGTACCCCAAAATTTGGGGCCCAAATTTTGCTCGACATTTTTTCAAACAGTCACAAAAAAAAATTGTGAAAAAATAACCTGTGCATAGTTTCAGTTCATTACGATATCATATAAAAATCTAAATTTTTTGTGATTTTTGTATGCAAAGTTTATCGAAAATTATTTGTATGGCAAAACTAATTAGATGTGGTTTTCTCGTGCCATAAACCCCCAATAGATATTTTTGAGTGCTTGAGTATACGTAAAATACCACTTTTGGAAGAAAAATGGAATTTTTCTCATAGGCATAACTTCAGGCATGCCACTTTATTCTATCAACCAAAGATGTTCAAAATCTAATGGTTTCTATTTGTTGCGACCCTCAATCGTCCTGTAAAGTCAGATTTTAAATAACGTTTCTGGGGGTAAGGTTATCGTGTTAACGCACATAGATTACGATATCGAAAAAACGTTGAGCTCGTGTCCCCTGGCCCCGAAAACACCCAGAAAACATGTTTTTGGGGGGTGTTAGTTTTTTGACCGATTACAATACATTACCTTACACACACGGTGTGTGCGTTGAAAAGTAATATAATGTTATAAGAATGAATAAAATTTATAAAACTAAATACATGAAAACCAATATTGAACATGTTTTATTATTGTTTATTAAAGATCGAAACTCAACATCGAAAGCATCATCAGGAGTTTCATCTTATCGAATGTTGTTTGATATGGGCTTCAAGAAGGAAGAAATTGAACTAGCATTACGGGCAACTAATCTTAACTTAGATGAAGCCATTGAGATTTTAAATCAATCTCGTTCAGCTAATAGCATTGACGCATGGAGACGACATGATGAGCACAATGCCAGCGCTGGTAACTTTGATCATAATAGCTTCCCTCAACGATATCCGGGTGGACCACAGCCGACTATGCCATTTCAAGTGAGAGTAAAGGGCTTGACCATTCATCATTTATAACTTCATTAATGTTAGTTGCAAGTTCGTAATCGATTTCTTAATTTACAGAGCAACAATCCAAATTTGCTGAACGCTATTGGTGTGAGTGGGGTTAGTACAAATCCAGGTCTAAATGCTATTGGCAACATGCAGCCAATGCAAGCACAAAAATACTTAAATCAAGGCGCACACAATGCTTCAGGCACCGGTAATTTGAGATGAACCAATCAAATGCATAAGTATGCTTTTAATTGTAAATTTAACATATTTTCAGGGAGCGGATTTAATCAGGGTATTAATCAAACATTGAACGCAGGAAATTCAGGTAATACAACACAAGCTGCAGGTCAACCATCAACGCAACAGTTACGCATGCTTGTGCAACAAATTCAAATGGCTGTACAGGCCGGTTATCTGAACCACCAAATCCTTAATCAACCTTTAGCTCCGACCACTTTGGTACTGCTCAATCAATTGTTAGCACACATTAAAGTGAGTATATAGTAGATTACAATTCCGTGATAATTTAACTTGTATGCGGAACTAAACGAAAATTAAATACTATTGGGAACGTTAAACCGCCATGAATAAACTAAAATTGTTATAGCTATTTTCAAGTGGTTTTCTTTTGGTTTTACTTAATAAATAACTGGCGTTCCTTAATAAATTTCAAACAGCAATTGCAAGTAAACCAAGCAAACATGAGCCGCGGTATCAATAACATTCCCATGACGTTGAACATATCGAAATTGAAGCAGCAAATTGCCACATTGCAAAACCAAATAGCACAGCAACAGGCCGCCTATGTGAATAAACAACCTGGTGCTCAATGCAATCATAACATTAGTGGAAACGGTAATGTTGGTATTGGTGCTGGTATAGGAATTGCAAATATCGGCAATGTGGCTAACGCTGGAGTTGGACCATCGCCAAATGATTACTTGCGCAGTCAACATGATCCAATTAATACATTGCAGGGTTCATTTTCTGACATGTCTATAGCTAAAGTATGAGTGATAATATGTGCATAATACGTTATTCGTTAACATTAAAACTAATGTTTTCATTTTTTTTGTGTAGGAACCACCAAATAGCTTCCAAAACTCGAGCGGTCAACAATCTCGTTTGAATCAATGGAAACTACCGAATTTCGATAAAGAAGGTGGTGCTGACAATACTACTGATTTTTCTCGTGCACCAGGTTGGTGTTAATTCAAATGCATTTTATTATTAATATCGATTTATTGTAATTTGAATGGAACAATGTTATCTAAACAACGAATTAAGTATGCGTATAAATTCTGATACTCTTCGGTGGACAATTGTGCGAAAACCTGTCAAATACTAGAATACGATGTTCAAGACCAGACTAATACTTTTTCATTTTTGACACCATTTTCTTGTACTTGTATTCGTCTCTCTTTAATTGGTTTTGTAGGTTTTTCAATAACCAAGTATAAAGTGCCTCAATCTCGGCTTTGGTACCTTCTTGCTCAAATTCCGGCACTATTTTTTTATTCTTGCTCAAAAAGTGGTCGTATAAGCTTTAGCTTCAGTGGGTAATTGAATGCGTCTAGATGAAAAATAAATGAGCATTCTATGAGCTGCTTAATCGTTCTGTGTACACTGTACATACCAGAGGTCGCAACGGGGCCCCGACCCGAACGCCCGACCGATGACCGCCCGAGCCCGACCCGATAAAGGTTCGGGTCGGGCGGGATTCGGGCCAGATGCTTCGGGTGTTCGGATTTTCGGATACTTCGGACGTTCGGTATCATGGACGTCCGAGTCCGATTAGCCCGAAATCGAGTGGTTTTTGAGAATTATTTGGAAAATCTCGCGAAAAACTGAAAAAAATAATGTTAGAATCATTTTTTTTTTACTTTTTGTATCAGTTAAATCTTCTTAAAAAAATACGGGGACCTTAGACCTGAAAATTCAATAAATACCGAGTGCCCGATTTCGGAGAATCACGGGTTTCGGTAAAAAAAAAATAATTTCGGGTCGGGCTTCGGTCGGACTCGGGCAAGGACACAGGAAATTCGATCGGGCCTCGGGCCAATTTTTCCATCCCGTTGCGATACTACATACTGCACAGCCGCTAGCCAATAAACATTTGTGTAGTGAAATTTAATAAAAGGGAAAGAAACACACCATTTTTGCTAAAGACATTTCAAAGTACCTGCTCAAAATGTCACCGGTTTACTCTGTTTCGTGTGTGCATTTTATATGAAAGGAAATTTTATTTCGGTTGTGTAAGCGGAGAAAATGTAAACCTTTTTCAGAATTTGCAGAATAAAGTCAATGGCAAACCAATTAGAGAGAGAGAGAGAGAGAGAGAGAGAGAGAGAGAGAGAAAGGGACGAATAAAATTACAAGGAAATGGTGTCAAAAATGAAAAAGTATCAGTCTAGTCTTGAACATCGTTTTCTAGTAGTTGACAACGCAAATGTAGAAGGGCTTGAATCCATTTTGAATTTCGTTCCAAATGAGGATCTGGTGACACGAACTAGCACATTTTTCGGAGTTTTAACACAATTGTCCACCGAAGAGATTCAGAATTTATACGCATACTTAGTCCCTTCAAGTTCCAATAAATCGATGATAGGTAATGACGAGGGTTCCTTGGGTTCAGATTACCCCCAACTCAACAATTTTGGAAATGAGGACCTTTTTTTGCTCTTCACTTTTTTTGGTCGAGAAAATTCTTTCGATTTGCTAGGGTTTTTCGCCAAAAAAGTGAAGAGCAAAAAAAACGGTTTTATCCTCATTTCCTACAAATTGTTGACATCGTCAGGGATCCCCCCATGGATTTTTCCAGGGACCCCCTACGGAATTTTGCCATCATCCCCCCAAAAAAAAAATTCCGTCATCATCTATGAAATCGACATTAATAATGAAATGCATTTGAACGTTATTACATTCAATATTGAAAATAATATACATTTGAATTAATATAACCAGGCACAACATCCAAATCAACAATGTCTACATCGAATTCGGTTATTGGATCACTAGGTGGTTTACAAGATGCGTAAGTTGTAGCAAATGAATTCTATTATAATGAGATTAACAATATTAAAATAACGATTTAGAACATGGTCTTCTGGTCGAAACATAAGTGACGGTTGGCCTGATTCAACACCAGATAGTGAGAATAAAGACTGGCCATCATCCCAACAATCTCCATCAGCAGCATTCACCGACTTAGTTCCTGAATTCGAGCCTGGAAAGCCTTGGAAGGTTGGTTAATATGACATTTTAAGAGTGAAAACTTTCGGTTGTGCCAAAATACCAAATGTTTATTTCATCTTTATTCAGGGTTCGCAAATGAAAACCATTGAGGATGATCCAAGTATCACACCAGGTAGTGTTGCTCGCAGTCCATTATCGATAAGTGCCGCAAAGGATACTGATTTGTTTGCAAGTAGCAGCAAAACTTCACCAACCGATATACCACCGTTAAGTTTATCGTCTTCCACCTGGAGTTTCAATCCAACCGGTTCATCCAGTCAACCACATTTCACAAGGTCTTTATAAAAATTACATACACAGCAATAATTTGAAGTAAAATCATAAATACCAATTGAAATGTATTAATTTTTTCTTAAAATTATACAGTTCTAAAGGCAGTAACTGGTCCGAGGGCGTGTCACATCAAATGGGTAATATGTTCATTAATTCTATTAATTTTAAATTATTTTATTTTCTTCTTTGAAAATTCTTCACTTAGGTAATCAATCTGAATTATGGAGCTCACCAATGACAAACAAAACAGCCCGTGGACCTCCACCTGGCTTGGGTAACAATTTTATATGGTTTGATTTTATGATTTGATTTTTATTTTGTCTTTTAATCTTTTCCTAGGTAATAATAACAAAGGCAATCTTACAGGTGCTAATGCGATAACTTCAACTGCAACTAGTTCAAGTACAAATGGCTGGATTGGTGGTAATTTACGTCTAAGTAAGTGTCATTGAAGTGACTAAAACTTATTTTCTATTCATATCGTAACAATCAAAACTCATAGGTTCAGGATCATGGCCATCAACATGGCTACTTTTGAAGAATATGACAGCCCAGATTGACGGCTCTACATTGCGTACATTATGCATGCAACATGGTCCATTACAACATTTCCATTTGTATTTAAATCATGGCATAGCTTTATGTAAATATTCAACGCGTGAAGAAGCTAATAAAGCGCAAATGGCATTAAATAACTGTGTGTTAGGAAATACCACAATTTGCGCTGAATCGCCATGCGAGAGCGAAGTTCAAAATATCTTACAGCATTTGGGTGTACCAACCAACCAACAACCACCTGCGCCACAACAGCAACCTCAGGTAGTTAATAATTACATTTTATCTTTTTTATAAGTTTGAACTGTAATTAATTAAATCATCTTATAATATAACTCTTAATAATATAATTAAATTAGTCACAAAATCCTCAACAATCACAGCAACCACAGCCAGGACAGCAAACATCAGCTGCTTCATTATCCTCGCAATGGCGACCATCTAGTCAAAATACGCAGAACCGTTCCTCGGGTAAGTAATTTTAATAAAATTCGCAAGTATATTTTATATGTATAGTGCGCTACGGACGAGCAAAATTTAGCTTGATACAATTTTGTAATAAATGATACAATGGCAATCAATAACATTATAGTTTATTATTGACAAATAGTCGGCCTCAGAACTTTTGCAAATTTTGATTAACTTACATTTGCAAACCGAACTAAAATGTTGGTCTCTTTCGATTTATGATGAAAAAAGGTAGTCCTTATATTTCGTAGCATTTTTATGCGATACTCAATGTACGATTTTCATGTTGAATTACGTTGTGATGGTGGACGGCATGGGTGATTTCAGATGATTCTTTTCTTCCATATCAAACCACCCAGCCAAATTTTTTGCATCTTTGTCTCTCCTTTGGTTTTCCAATGAAATCGCGTATTTGGTTTATTTTGATATTTTCCTTCTAACTTCAAAATACAATTTCAATGTATTTGGAAGTAATGCTTGATATATAGATGTATAGACAAGTGAAATTAAAAAAAAAATTGTGTCACAACTGGTGCATACTAGAGTGCAGCCCACATTTTATTATCTTCTTTATTTTCATCATCGGCCATCGTTGTTCACAATGAATCGTTGCTATTTTTTTTTATCTTTGAAGGATTGATACAAATAAATGAAAATAAAAAATAGAGACACATTTATGAAAAAATGCACCAAAACATAGTAAGATTTTATTAACGCTCTGTTATTTTGCAATCAAAACGAAGACACAAATTGAATGTCCTAACCATGCTACAACCACTAACATATATTTCTTAAGAAATCCTTTTGCAAACAAATCACATTCTTATTATAAACAAACATCGTCTGATTCGGTTTAGCACATATATAGCGCGCAACCAACATATGTCAGAAAGATTCAGATGCATTTAGAAATTTCATAATTGTTATTTTATGCATAATTTTCTTCTGAAGAATTTTAAATCAAATTATACAAATCTCTTTCAGATTCAAAATAGTTAAAATTAATGAAAAGTTAGAAAAGCAGATCTCACAGCATGGAAACATTGGAACATTGTTTACTATCGCCACCAAATAACCTCATTTAATTCTATATAGTTCTGCGATACTACTCTCTAATAAAGCGTTGTTGAGGTGTCATTATTTCCATGTTCTGACAGATCTAGAAAAGAAAATACCTCTTTTGTGCGGATCTTCATCACAACGTAAACAAAGAAGAACCGCTCAAAAAGAAATGTACAAAACCGATATTTTGTATGAAAATTATATGGCATTAACTTATAATCATAAGACATTTGTATCATTTTCTACGAAAAGACAAACGATCAAAATGTTTATTAGAAAAATGCTACAAAAATGGCTACTGATGAAAAGAAACATATACATTTTACAGTTGTTTAAATACAATAAAATACAAAATTCCTTTAGCATGAAAATCTGAGGAAGGTCCCCAGCTCAAAAACCCTAGCAGAAATGAAAGAAACTCTTCTCAACAAAAACCCCCAATAAAAAGAAGTTTTTCATTACACTCAGCCAAAATCGATTGCGTTGGAAAATTTAGCTCCAAAATCCCTAGGAAATCGAAAGATTTTTTTAAAATTTGCTCGGGGCTCCGAAAATGATAAATATGACGCCGCAAATCTGCTTTTTATTGTATTGCTTTCAATCAATTTAAAAATTTATTTTAATTTTTCAGGCTCAGATACTTGGGGAGCTGGTTCAGTAGTATGGCCTAGTACTAATCCAGCTGGAAACTTTTGGACCGGATTAGATGCTACTTCGACTGAACGTGGTACTCCGTCTTCACTTTTACCTGAAAATTTACTTGGCAATGAATTAAATTAGGCTGTAGCAATGCGAAAAACAAAAAGCGAGTAGAAACACGGTGTACAATTGATAAAAAAATAAAAATTATTTAAGAAAAATAACAGCAACAACAACAGCAACAAAATGAATTAACAATTTTTAGTAATTATACATATATATTCTATATACAACATGGTATGACATGCTAAAATACATATATCTCTATGCCCTTAGATTGTAAGTTTCACGTAATATTTTTAATTAAGCATCACAAAATGAAACAAATAATATCCTTACTATTGCTAGAATTATAGATAACGAATATTTTAACGATGCGATATAAAAAATAACATACACAAAATAACTCACACAACATATAATAATTTACATAATGATCGAATTTTACAAAAAAAAAAAAACATGAAAAAAATGAAAAAAAACTTGAACGCATTATCAAAAATGAGAGACCTTCAAAGGGCAAACTAAGCCAAACTAAAAAAATTGTCTTGTTTTATTATGTTATTTTTTAGAATTAATTGAAACAAAAAATACAACAAAAATCTAAAAAATAATTGTAACGATCGTAATAATAGAGATGAAGGCGCATATACACAAAACCACTCTATTATATATTCTATATTTGTTTACTCTAGAATTTTTGAAAAAGAAACAAACAACATTAACTGCATGTTGATTATTGAATATGAAGAAATTTAATTCAAATTTGTTAAAACTGGAGGCAATTTTGCGAGTGTCCATTTGTGATATAATCTTGATCGATGACGGCGCATAAATGGGATTCAAACAAGTTTCACCAAGTTAAAAAAAAAAACAGATCAAATTGCCAAGCAAAGTGGCGACGCAGAAACTGTTTTCATTTCGACGGAATTGAATTGAATTTTCGAATTGATTGACGTAAAGTATAAAATTTGTAGTAAGCAGTTAATACAATTTGTAAGAAAGCACATGATGATAATAACAAAATGAAAATGTATCGAAGAATATATTTCTGTATTATGGCAACTCAAATTGCTCTTTTTTAAGCAAAATGGTTCTAACAATTATTTGAGTTTAAGTTATTGACATAGAACAATTAAAAGAAACTTACCCAAGTTCTTCACATCGTTTTTTATACTTAACACAAAATATTTATCTAAGTCTATGATTATAACAGTAGCACACTTCACACTTCTTTCGTTTCGAAATATGATGAAAATAAACTGTGTAAAGCTTAGAAAACGTGCAAAAACAAGTATCCAGTTTGGAATCTAGTTTATATATACATGTAGGATGTTTGACATTTTAATCATTATTTTATGAAGTCTTCAAAAACAAAGAACTATACACAATTGCAGTTTAATATAAAATATTAAATGGCAGCAAGTATTCCCGATTCATAAAATCAATACGTCGTTAAGAGTCTATCTGCTAACAAACCTAAAACAACATTCAACTTCACTTGAATAGATGTGCTAAACTTTTGATTGACACTATGTTTATTGCTTTTAAAAATTAAAAAAAAACTTTCAGTCATGAAAAATTGTAAAGTTAAAAAAAAACAAATAACATTGCTAAACATCTAAAACCAATTCCACACTGACACGCATACACACATCAATAATGCTTTAAGTATTTAGTAGAAACATAATGAAAAGAATTTTTATTTTAGAAATACAACAACAACAACAACAAAACGAAACCATTTTCTATATATTAGCTTGTTAGTATTCTTTTGTTTATTTAATTTTCATTTACGTGTTTAATTTTACAACCGTGTTGTTTCTCAGTCTTTGATTCACAATTTTTTCCTTTATTTTTTTTTTAATATTTCAATAAACAACAATTTTGTGTTTGCCTATAATCTTAACCTTAAAATTAATAAATTAAATTAATTATTTAATCAAAAATTGATGGATAAGTATAGATTTTATATTATTGAAAGCCAAAATGGAAAACGGTCACAAGATGGACTAAAGACAAAAATAAAATTACAATAATCATCTATTTAATTACAAAAAAATCTTCTAATGCAATAATAATTGTAAATCAATTGATGTGAAAATGAGTCAATTTTTAGCACATTTCACGTCTACTGTATTATTGTGCGGTTTTGGTTTTTTTATCAACAATTTGCTAGGTTTATGTAATTTGTTTAAAAAATTAATTTTTCATTTGGTAGATAATTCATAAAGTTTGAAAATTTTGAATTTTGGGAAATCGATCATAAGCTGCTTAACACGAGTGATATTTAACGGTTAAATGACTTTGATTAAAATTTCAACGACTAACAACAAAAAAAGCAGAGAAAATTAAAAGCAAAGGAATATATTGACCAAAATATATGAAATTTAAATTAGTTTTAGGAATCATTAGCACATAAGAAGTTTAGCAAATGTAACATCAAACCTTTAAACGAACACCGATTTCATTCTACAAATATCTCCGAACCGAAGTTTAAAAGTAAAATTAAAAAACATTCTAGTTTTAGACAATTCTATTATACAAAATACAGAGTAATGAAATACCACGGCAATAATTCATAAAACAAAAAAAATATGAAAAAAAACTAATAAAAGAAACATTCCTCTTCAAAGGAATCAGGTTCGCAGGCAAATATACATATGCGCGCAGTGTATGTTGATGCCAATACTCGTTCAATGGTTAGTTCTTTTTTACTTAACATTATATTTTTAACAATTACACAAAAACAATAATAATGAATATACAAACGGATTGATGGAAAGTTTGTTTTAATCATTATTATTTCTCAATCAGATTAAGGACACATACAGTTAAATGAAATTGTCAACAGCCCAAAATCGTGCATTTACCAACTGAACGATATATGATCAAACTGAAAAAAAAAAAAAACGATAAGTACGATTGTTCTCAATTCTAGAAAAAAGAACCATTAGATGTCAGGAAATAACAATAATGAGACATAGATCGCTGTCAAAGCAAAGGCCTTAGACAGAGATGAGTTCATTTAAAATGATAAAATGAAAAATGCATTTTTGTGATTTAAATTTAACAAAAGAAAAGAGTGAAACACAAATGAATAAAAAAAAACATCCACAATGAATATAAAACTCCTGATAATGCGCTTAAGATTATGTACAGTAATGATCTTTATTATTATAAATATAAACAAAATAAATAAATGCAACAAAAAAAATCCTCACCTCCATTTAACATGGATGATATTAAAATTAGAATTTATAGGGAAGAGAAAATATTTAATGGATAATATTTCGCGTTTAGCATGAGCCAAAAATGGGGAAAAAAAACCGAAAATATTATGATAATCACAAATGAATCATAGGCGCAACTCCGTTTTGCCATTTCAAATGAAATTTAAAATATGAATGTTTAAGTACACTCAAATCTTGTTGTTTATAACCGACATAGTCTATAGACACAACTCCAAATTTTAATTTCTTTCTTTAACAGTTTCCTCGTTGATTTTTTACGAGATAGACATTTATACTCATCTCGAAAGTTGTATAAAAAGATAGCAAATTTCCTTTTCTGCTGCATTTCTTTGAATTCCGGCAAAACTAGAACGGCAAACATCCTTAGTTATATGCAATCAAAATATGTTATTTAGAAACCACGATTTACAACGCCAAATAACAAAAGCGATTGAAAGAGAGAGGGTGAAGGATAGAATCAAATGGAAAGACTTATACTTTTGTAAAGAGAAAAAAAAGAAAACAATTGGATAGATCAACCTATAATACAAAAGACTTATAAATTAAATTCTATTTCAAAAAAAACCTTAATAAGGTCTCCTAGCGTAAAATATAAAAACGATTTATTTTTCGTACGCAGAAATAACGAATCATATTATTTATAGGAACAGTCAGATCATTTCACATTATCAAAATATAACAATTCGAATAGTATAAACATTAGATAAACATTTGCTCAATTTGTTCATTAATCATCAGACCTTTATATTCATGTATGTTGGGACGTGGGTGTGAGAATATCGTACAAATATTTTTTTTAATGATTCCATTTCTCTTGTTATCATCCATTATCTCTCTTTTCTGTCGCCCCATAAAGCGTTGTTATTCATATCATCTTCGGAAAGTTAACAGATTCAAGTCGAAAATTACATTACCAAAAGATGTTAGACCGTTTGTGCCGGTGTGGTTCCTGCCAAAATAAAAACATAAGCAAAAACTGACAAATGAAAGAAAATTCATTGAGTGATAAAAAACGCTTATAATTTGAAGCTATAATTGTATATCACATGGATAACGATTTACTTGTAAACGGATGGATTTAAACAAAGAGCACGATTTTCAAATCGACTTCAATTTCGATTGCCTTTTCCACAAACGAAGTGGACTTGATATTGTAAACGAAAGAAGCAAAAATAAAATATAATTACGTGAATTAGTTTGTTTCCATTTTAATTTCGTTTTTGACGTTGATCATGATCATTCTTAATTTGAATTGTATGTTTTCTTATTTGTTTGTATCGCACAATTCGCTAAGTCAATCAATATTCATAGTTTATATAATCGCATTGTGATCCAGTCAAGAAATGAAATGAATCTGACTTCTCTAATAATTAACGTCCGCAATGAATATTTGTGCCGCTAAATGGCATATAATCTAAAATGTAACAAAATTTCTCATCCGATGAAAATGTAATTTTAAATTTTATTATATTTTCATGCAGTTTTCAATTTCAGTTCCCTAGTTTTTTTTCTACATCTTCGAAAAAAAAGAAATATAAAATAAATTAAAAATGTGAAATCCATAGGGACAATGGCAATGAAAATATCGCAAATGTGTGTATTTTTTTTTAAACTGCTTTATGATAATTTTGCGTACCTGTTTTGAAATGAAATACGAACATTATTGACCACTGATGTCCAATCACACACTCAAAAACACAAATACACACATAGATACGATACACTAACATAAACACTCGCATGAGCTTTACCATTTAAAACGAATTATACAAGGGATAACATCCATGCATGCCGGGAACCACACGAATAATAGCGTTAAACGAGATTTTCTCTTTTTATTTTTCGCGGGCAGATTTTGTGCCTCTTCCACGACTCCGGTTACCACCGAGACATCGAATAAAATTTATTATAATTAATAATAATAATAATTAATAATAATAATAATTAATAATAATAATATATTTAACTTAGTCTTGTTGTTCAATCATGGATTTAAATCCCCTCCTTATCCTCCCAAAAAACATAAACAAACTTATGTATTTAAATAGATTACATAGATATAATATTTGTATTATCATTCGAATGGAACATTTCGAATAAAACAAATTCGTATAGAATATGTTGTGAAAGGCAACAATTATGAACAAAATTAAGATCGTGCTATAACTTAGAAATTATGAATAAATACCCAAAAATTATTTGATTTTTTTTTTCATTTTTTTACCAACATCAGTGCCGCGATTCTACAATACAATTCCGAAACAAATGTTCAGAACGTAGAAAAAGAGACTAATTTAAGTATATTGTTTATATAAACAACATTTCTGAACGATTAACGTTGAAAATATTTCCGAATCTCGTACAATTTTGACACAGCTTTGTTTTATAGTTGTTTTCATCTTCCTGAATAATTTGTTTTTATGACCAAAATCTCATAATACAACATTTCTAAAACTATTAATTATTCGTTTACTTTTATTTGAATATGCAGTTCATGCTAATATACCAGGCTATTTGATAGTCACGTGACTTTTTGAATGAAAGGTGTCTCTTGAATCAAACTGATAATAAGTTTTAACCAAATCCATTCACGGACCCAAAAGTTACATAGTTTGAAAGAGACCAATCTCTAGATTTTTTCTTAAAATGCAAAAATTTTGAATTCGATTTGTGAAATAAACATCAATTTTTGTCAAAAATATTTTTGGTGGTATTGTTCGGACTGTCTTCTATCTACCAGAGAAATTTTCTGTTGATTTCGGATGTACTCATACAGGTGGAGGAAATGAACAACTCAAAAAAGGAAATTTTTGAAGAAATGGATAAAAAAAAATCAAAGATATCGCTTTAAAAGACTGTAATATTCTTAAATGAAACTCGACTAGTTGAATGTTCAAAGTAAAACTAAATTTATTGAAAGTGGTGCGAGCACACCGCACCGACTGACAGCAATATCGGACGGGTGTACAAAGATACCAAGAGGCTTGGCCATTCATTGCGTAGCTCACCAAGAGATGGTGTTACCAAACTAAACATTTTAAGTTAAATCTGTTCGTTCCGAACATACTCCCGGCACAAAAAGCTGAAGTGTCTGTACCGGTGATATGTTACTCGTTCAACAAATCATTATTTTTCAAAATTAATCAAAGATAACATAAAAGGAAAACTTAATAAGAAAAGTCAATGAAAAATGTGTCTTAATAAATCTAAAAACTCTTTAAATATCATCATAATCGTTGGTCGGAATGACTGCAATCTTTGAAACAGCTCGACGATAAACTGCATTTCTCACTCTGACTTCTACATTTCACACATGTCCGTCTTCGCCTGGATACACTTGGGTAATGCGTCCCAAAGGCCAATGAGTTGGTGGCATGTTGTCTGACCAAGACCATTGCGCCTGGCATAATGTTCTTCTTTGCCAAAAACCACTTACTTCGCTCAATCTGAGCTGTTATAACTTCTCGGCACCAACGTTGCCAAAATTGCTGGGACATTTTCTGAATCAATCTCCAACGCTGTAGTCGATTATCCGGGATCTCAGTGTAATCAAACTGGGCTGGACCAATTAACTGCCTATGCAGAACCAAATGTGCAGGTGTCAAGGCTTGACACGAATTCACATCGTCATCCAAAGTAACCAAAGGTCGGCTATTCAAACAAGCGGACACTTGAGCAAGTATGGTCACAAATTCTTCGTATGTCAAGACCTGAGTCCCAATAACTCGACGGAGATGATGTTTGGCGCTACGCACATTTCGTTCCCATAAACCTCCCTGTGACGGCGACAAAGGTGTGATGAAAGTCCATTTCACTTGTAACAATTGTAGACTTTCAGACAAAGACAAACCCTTCCAATGCATGAAAATCTCTCTCTGCTCATTCGCTGCCCCGTGAAATGTAGTGGCATTGTCGCTAAATATTTCACGGATGCTCCCGCGCAACGAAACCAAACGCGTCAAACAAGCCATGAATGCATCAGTTGTAAGGTCAGTCACCAAGTCGAGATGAACCGCTTTTGTTTTCATACAAACAAACACAGCAACATATGCTTTGTATAACTTCTTGCAACGGCCAGAACGTTCCTTTACCATGACAGGTCCACAGTAATCAACACCAACTGATTCGAAAGGATGACCTGAAATAACCCTTACACTCGGTAAATCGCCCATCAACTGGTCAGCCACTTCTTTTCTTTGGCGAAAACAGGGCATACACTTGAGCGAAACTTTCTTAACTGCTTTACGAACACCGATCATCCAAAACCGTTGTCTAATATACTGCATGCATAACTGAGTGCCGCCATGTAAGGTACGTCGATGCGCTTCTACCACCAATAGATGTGAAAATCTACAATCATGATGCAATATTATCGGATGCTTCGTATCAAAAGGCATCATAGAACGCTTTATACGGCCACCAACACGCAACAAACCATCACCATCAACACGCAACAAACCATCATCACAAAGGTGACATCTTCACTATTATTGAATCACGCGATAAACTTTTACCATTTTTGAGTAGCTCAATATCTCCGGCGAAATATTTTTGTTGATGATATTTGATCCAAATTGCTTGAGCCTCCAAGTAATCGGCATGGGCAATGAACGTTGAACAGACTTTCTCTTTGGTTCTTATCTTTCTTATGAAAGCCAAAACTCTAGCAGTAACACGAACCAACCTCATCATCGAACTACAATGATCCAACAACATTTCTGTTGTTACATCATTTACTGTAACTTCAATTCGCGGCACAGTTTCAACTCGAATAATAGCACATGCCTGAACTGCTCTTGACTCAGCTACTGTAGCCTCTTTAACACGTTGATCAATGGTAAAACTGCCAACTGGCCAATCTGAATGTGGTTTCGACAACCAGTGCGGTCCATGGAACCAAAGCGAATTTCCAACTAACTCACTCGCAAATAAGCCTCGCGAGGCTAAATCAGCAGGGTTATCATTCGTACGTACATGCTTCCATTGCGCTCCCTTTGTACATTCTTGGGCTTCGGCAACACGATTACCAACAAACGCCTTTAAGCCAGATGGACACTTTGACAACCAATGTATGACTATGCTTGAATCTGTCCAAAGAGTCAATTTACTCATTGGCACATCATGAATGCTACAGATTTGTTGACACATGTGTGCCATCATCAATGCTCCACACAACTCCATACGTGGTATAGTCATTCCCTTTAGCGGTGCAACGCGAGTTTTCGATGTTATCAGATTACATTCAATCGTAATTCCACTTTCTACTCTGGCGTAGAAAGTCATTCCATATGCACTGTTCGACGCGTCTGAAAAACCATGAATTTCAATGGATTTCTCTGGTGAAAGTCCAATCCACCGTGGCACAGTAATTTTATTAACATCAATCATCGTTCTTTTTAAATCATTCCAACGATTCTTAAGTTCTAATGGTACTATGGTGTCCCATTCAACTTTGCTCTTCCACACATCCTGTATCAGAATTTCACCCAAAATTACAATTGGTGCCAACCACCCAATAGGATCATATAACTTCGCAATCGCTGACACTATATTTCGTTTTGTAGGTGGCAGATCCGATAAATTAGTGTAATTATAACGGAATGCATCATCCGCAATTGACCATTTCAAACCAAGAATTGAACTTTCATCACAAAGATCAAAATTTACTGAACTTACTGCGCCGGCGGTAACACCAAGTACCGACCTCATGTGTGCACTATTTGTGGCCCATTTTGCCAATGGAAAACCACAACTCATCAACATCTGATTCAACTCTCGATACAAATTCTCCGCATCAAAATCAGTATCTGCGCACAAAGTACCATCATCGACGTAGAACGAATTCAACACTGCTTTTGACGCTAATGGATACTTTTGTCGATGTTCCAAAGCACAATACCTCAAAGTGGCGACACAACAATATGCACTTGATTTTAAACCATATGTTTGCCTTTTCATTCGATAATGCCGTAGTGGTTCATTCTCATTTTCGCGCCAAACAATTCGCAAATAATCACGTTGATTTTCTGGTACCAAGACTTGACGATACATCTTGGTAATGTCCGTTGTTAATGCAACACCATATTTACGAAATCGCATAATAATTATATTCAAATCATCTTGACAACGAGGTCCATTTAATAAAATATCATTGAGAGATACACCCGTTGTAGTCTTAACAGAACCGTCAAAAACAACTCGAAATTTACTTGAATTTGCAGCATGATGCGGTATGTAATAGACATCCTCTTTATCTATCTCATTCAGCGGAACCAACTCCATATGGTCCAAATCAATGAATTGGCGAATATCCTTGATGTAATTCTCTTTTAACTTTGGACCTTTGCGAAATCGTCTCTCATTTTGTAATTGACGTGCTATGGCTGCACGCAATGAATTGCCCAATTTAGGCGGATTGTCCATAATTGGCATCGCAACTGAATACCGACCGTCTTCAGCTCGCTTTATAGTTTCGCTGAAAATTTGCTCACAACGCGCTTCCTCGGACGTGAGAAGCGATTTTTCTTTCACAGCATCAACCCTCCACAATCTTTCCAAATTGTCGGGGATGCGTTGACAATCAGCGATTGCAAGATGCGACAAAGAAGCAAACCTTTGACTTGATGGTAATGCTCCATAAACAATCCAGCCAAATGTAGTGCAGCCCACCACTGGACGATTCGAATTGTTATGATCTCTTATAATTTTGTTACCTTGAATGCGTGCCATAAATTCTACGCTTAACAAAATATCAATATCATCGGGCATATTAAATGTCTCATCTGCTAATGGCAAGCCATCCAAATGATTCCAGTCCAAAATATCGAACTGAGTTGGTGTTAATTTACCCGAAACTACACTCATAACACCAGCTCTAATCCATTCACCAGTACTCGAACCGCCGTCCGCTGGTGAAATTTTCAAATCAACAAAAGTTTTTGAGTCTATACCACATCGGCCGGCACCCTCCATTGGCACAGACAATTTTCTTTGCTCAAGATCTAATAGCTGCTGTAAACGCCGTGAAATCATACACATGTGTGATCCACCATCAGCCATCGCTCTGACCTTAACTTCTTTGCCAAATTTATCTGACGCTAACACTCTCAACGTCGCAATTAATGATGCATCAATATCCGTAGCCGGCGATGATTGTACCAAGGTTAACACCGTTGCTGGTTTTTGTTGCTGAGGGCATAATAACTTATTATGAGGCTGTCCACAAATTCTACAATCAGAAATACTACAGGTGTCCTTTGAATGACCTCTGCGCAAACATTTCACACAAATATTCAAGCTTTGTAAACGCTGCTCTCTTAGATCAACCGACATTCTTTCAAAAGACCGGCAATCATATAGCTTATGCAAACCGTTACAATGAAAACATGCACGCTTCTTCTTAATCTTACTTGGATCATGCTTATAATTCGACTGTTGTGAAGTTGCCGGCATAGCTGTTATCGCCGGTGTATTCGATGCAGATTCTGGACCTCTGAAATGTCCTCGACTTGAAACAGGTCCACTTTGACTTGAATGACCTTGAAATGACGAATAAAAATGACTGGTTTTTTCAATTCTAACTGCAAAATCTGAATCCATACTGTCAGCTCGTTTTCAAATGAATTTCAGCAATGGTTGTACCTTTGCAATAGCTTTTTGATCTCGTTCTAATGACCATAAACGAATTGACTCACCATCCATTTTTCGAATTAATAACGGTACTAAAATTGGATCCCAATGTTCGACACGAATATTATATTTTGGCAAAGAATATAACAAATTATTCGTTTTATTAATCAGCGCAATTAACGCCGACCTAGATGGTGTCTCTACACACGGCATGTCAATAAATGATAAAATAATGCTGTTCACAATTTTCCTCTCATTGTCATATGCATCACACAACTTTGCCCAAGCTTGTTCATAATGCAAATTCATACCGTTAACCGTATTGTAAGCCTCTGACTGTGGTGCCAGATGAGCCATCAAATGATAAAACTTTGTTGAGTCGGTCATATCCGTTCGACGATGAAAACATTCCTCAAATTGTGCTTTGAACTGTGGCCAATCATTGTCTTTGCCGCTAAACTTTTCAATTTCCATCTTCTTGACCTTGACACCTTGATCTTGAACATGCGGAGCAGTTGTATGCATTGTGCTATTCGACTGGTACGAGATATCTGCGGTTGTCAATTCATTGATTCTTTTTTCTAACAAACCATTTAGCGATGAATGCAAACCATCTACTTTATCCATCAATTTTTGGTGTTCAATGATGTCCTTTGCTGACAAAACTTGCGATTTGGTCGACTCTTCAAAAAAAGTGTTGATAATACATACTAACCAATTTTAGTTGGCTATTTAAAGTTGACAATGGGAGCGATTCAAAATCATCACCATACACCACAGAAAGTATTCTTTCCAAACCAACAATACACATGTGCTTGGCATCATAATTTTTAACCTCTCTTTTTTTCTTTCTGTCATTTGCTTCGCCGGCGATTTCATTTGAAAGAGCGTCTTCAACGCTTGTGTCATTTATTTCCAGAATATCAATCGAATTCCGTTCTGTGCGACGCTTACCTTTGCCCATTTTAATGTAATAATTTGTCCAAAAACAAAATAAAAACGAACCAATGACACCGAACTATGGTGTTCATGCACTTGTAATGACGCAATAAAAAATGAAAAGTCTCACGCAATAAAAAATGTTTCAAAGATACCGTACTTTAAGTCTTGATCTCAATTTCGACTATTTAATTGATAGAAAAATATCTCAAAGCCGATGATAATTAGAATAATCCACTTTGTGCTGAAAAATTCACGGTCTGTCACACTGTGGTGTGTGCTCTCTCGAACACAAAAAATTACCAAGTTCGAAACTGCGCAATTGCAGCACAATCACCTGTATACGGTGTACAGTTATGTTGCCAAAATGAACAAAAAAGGCTAAGTTTGTCGCGCACTGTGGTGTGCACACAACTTTTTTTTTTTTTTCGAAAAAATGCACAAAAATCGCTGTTTGTAACACTATGGGGTGCATACAAACATGAAAACTTGGAATGAATTTGCAAAATTAAATGACCTTTAAAGCCACACTATGGTGTGCGTGCCCACTAAAATTCCAAGAATTTTAATTGCAAATCGATTCTCAATTAGATTCGAAGGACCAATAAATGAATCTCGACTAGTTGAATGTTCAAAGTAAAACTAAATTTATTGAAAGTGGTGCGAGCACACCGCACCGACTGACAGCAACATCGGACGGGTGTGCAAAGATGCCAAGAGGCTTGGCCATTTATTGCGTAGCTCACCAAGAGATGGTGTTACCAAACTAAACATTTTAAGTTAAATCTGTTCGTTCCGAACAATTCTAGTGATTTATCTAGAATAGATCCCAAACATCATGTTGACTGCCGCATTTGCTAAAAATGGATTGTTCAAAGGATTTTGGGCACTAATCAAGCAAATAGTTTTATTGATTTCACTGTGCGTCATTTTTAGCACTGCATGAAATGCAGAGCTATTGGTTTGGTCTTGTTTTTTTTTCTTTTTTTTCAGTCTAATCGTATTTATTTGACTTAAATCGTTTTTATCCAAATTAATTCGTTTTTTGTCAAATTAATTCGTGTTTGGCCGTTTTTAGTCGTTTTCATTCAAATACGATTTTAGTTAATTATATTCAAGTACATTCGATTTTAGCCAAATTTATACGACTAAAAAGGACTAAAAATGAATTAATTTGGCTAAAAACGAATTAATTTGACTAAAATAGATTTAAGTCAAAAAAGTGATAATGGGCTGAATTATGCCTGAATTCGATGAAATAATATATAGCAAGTCGACTTTTCAACACACTAAGGTGGTATCGTCACTCGCGCGAACTGCCGTCCGCTGTGATCTTCAACAGAGTTTTAAATTAAATTACGCAAATTTCTTTCCTAAAAAATTGTTTATTTTTTTATTTGTTCGTAAGATTTAGATTTTCAATTTCAAAGGCTTTTTTATACTATCGTTTTTTTTTTTTGAAGTTTTATTGGTCTACATGGTAGTTTTAAAGAATACATTTTGATTCGGTGAATCTTCAACCTAAAACCACGATTTCCGTGATTACATTTTTCCAAGTGTTAGGGTTTTTGCCGAGAGATTTTTTTCGGTCGAGGACCCCTCATCGATTGTCGGCTGGGACCCCCTCTTAGATTTTCATCCGTGAGAACCTATAGGCCTTAAATATTGTCTGAAGTTTTGCTAAAGAACAATGCCAAAATGTTAGCCAGTATACTACTTCACGTGTAATAAATGGAGATAATATCAGGAGTACCAACATAATAAATGGTCTTACGAACGTAAGACGAACTTTTCCGCACTGTTTAACCGCAGTACACCACAAACGTTTCTTTTTTTAAGCAATGGAATCATTTTTCAATGACATTCAAAAAAATATGTCTGACGTTAATTTTGCCATAGAAATTATTTTTGAAACACTTTTCATAACTAAAGTCACAAAAAATTTGGATTTTTGTATGGGAGCCATGTCTGTATGCTACCTTAATGGTGTGAAACTTTGCACAGGTTGTTTTTTCACAAAAAAATAACATTCGGAGGGTTTGGAGAAATTTCAACCAAAATTAAGAGTACCTCCCATGCGAAATATTCGTTTTTGAGCCAAAAGTTGAAAATGTTGTATGGGAGGTACCCCTAATTTTGATTGAAATCTCTTCAAACTTTCAGAATGTTATTTTGTTGTGTAAAAAATAGTCTGTGCAAAGTTTCACGTCATTAAAGTAGCATACAGGCATGGCTCCCATACAAAAATGCAATTTTTTTGTGATTTTTTTTAAGGAAACTGTATCGAAAATTGATTGTATCTCAAAACTAACCTCGGATTCGGTTTTCTCGTGCCAAAAAAACCCCCAATACATATTTTTGAGTGTTTAAGTCTACATTAAGTATGACTTTTGGACGAAAATTGGACTCTTCTTCATAGGTATCACTACAGGCATGAAATTTTTTTCCATCGACCAAAGTCGCTCAAAAGCTAATGATTTCTATTCCTCGGGGCCCCCAATCATCCTGTAAAGTCAGATTTTGAATTAAGTTTCTACTATGAGCGCAATCTTGCTAACAAATTTTGCGTACGACGTACAACGTACGACGTACAACGTACAACGTATAGTGCGTGACATAAATATCGTCCTGTTTCTATCTCTTTTT